AGTTTTCATGACTTCATACTAAAAGGTATCGTACGTAACTCGCACGAAAATGTTTTAGACGTACGCTTTCCAGAATGCTAACATTTTTCATTCGTTCGCCAAAAATGCCCCTTCATTATTAGTTACATAAATAATCATTTTGAATATACCGAAAGTTCATTGCATTTCATTCCCGTACCTTACACTTTAATTAGTATTTTTAAGATTTCTTTATGGTCTTCTGTAATGGTCAGGGAGTGTGTTATCTCAAGTGCAATGTGCGCTTGGCATCCTATTTCTTCCTGTGTCATTTAACTTCAATAATAGCTATCGTTCAAATTAGGTACTTGATGGCTATTTCGATAACTACTGTTGTGGCCCTGAAAATAGAAGAGGCTCACAACAAGGGTTAAGAGCCTGCAAGCGACGGAGTGCAGAACGGATGAACGCCATGAGCGGTGACTGACTAGCGGCGCCTCCCTCCAACCCCCAAGCCCCATCGCCCAACGCCCAACGTCCAAGACACAAGACGTAGTGTACTTTGTGCATCGCACCGTTGACCATTAAAATAAAATTGGCCCCCTTCGTTAGAGGAATTAACTTAATTACATGTGTCGTAGAAGTACGGATTATTTCAGGACGTGGCTCTGCATACCATTTACCCTCAATGCCGTACTTTCTTTTCTTGACTTGTGAGAAATCCAAGGTTCCCTGCTAGATGGAGGTTTTCGCCTGTCGAGCTCACCACAGTTTTCAACTTGAACGAGATCTCAGTTGCGAGGAGTGCCTCGGGAATGTTGTATAGTTATTCTGGGCTGGGGGCATGGGTTGGGCGCTGCTTCTGTGATCGCACGTCATTTACGTGTAGCAAACCCCGGACTCTCGGCCGAGCGCCCGCCACCTTGGTGTTCTGGGATTTGAATCCAGCCGTTTGGCACTGCGTGACCCTCGCTCCTTCAAATGCAAAGGTTCAGTTTACTTTGTCAGTTCCTTTCAAGGCTACCATTTCTGAGAGTTGTGTTTTCGCTTTGTGCACCTGTTACAGACTTCTTTTCAGTCTCGGCACGTTAACAATTTTGCAATTTTGCACTATTGTTTTTTGCACAATTTCTCAAAGTTTGGCATATATCCCTGATCTGTGTAATGTTCATAAATTGAATTCCTATAAAAACAAGACTTGTAAACTTGTTCAGTAGCACGCTAAGAGATGATTGGAAGCTAACATAAGATAACAATGATTACTGGCCAATGTCGATATTTTTTTTACTCGTAATGATACGCATACATACGCGAGAAAAATTGTCAATTGAATAAACCTGATGCTCGAATTGGCGGCCACAATGTTTTATCTTAATTACTACTTTTATTTTACCAAATCAAAAAAAATTACTTTCACATAAAAGTTCTACGATAAAGATATCTAAACTAGTTGAAAGAGACCTGTAAGTACTTGTCAAAAGGCAATTTTCCAGTACCAACTATTGATAGCTCAAGGTGGCCACTTCATTAAAAAATATCCAAAAGAATTGGGAATTTTATTGCTATGAAAAGAGGAAATTAGCGGTGCTACATTACGTACTTTTTCGCATTATTTCTGATTTTACAGTTTTCGAAAATTCAGAGAGCTCAAAGAAAATCGGACCTGCACCATTCTTGCAAGCGTTCCTAGTTGTATCTGTGGAAAAATGTAGAACATTTTTTAAAGAATTTTTCTTTATACTCATTGTATAAATTTCAACCACATATTACGCCAAACGTACTCGTATATCTTTTGGTCATGGCCTTTCTTAAAGATATGATAGTTTTTAAGAAGTATTGTAAGGCAAAAATCTCTATTTTCCATTTTGTAGTTTTGAAAATCAAATTATTAAATTTTCCAAAATAGAGTTCGCCGGAAATAGACAAGCACCATTTTTTACCGTCCCTTGATACATACGAGGAGAAAACATAAGGAAAAAACTTGCAATCATTTTTTAGATAAAACGTAATGAAAATTAAAAATCAAAAGTACCTTTCAAAAATTCAAAATATCCATTTCAAAGTCAGAGGGTGCTTGAGGTCATTTAAATTGATTGGCGTGTATCAATTTTGGAAAGATCGGCTGAATGGTTTAGACGGTAGCCCTGACACACTGACGTTTTGTCGTCAATGGAATTTTTCGGTATCAAGGATCCACAAAACATGTTTTTAGACTACATAGCGTGTTAGAGGAAGTAATTTTCTCTATAGGGAAACAAGATTTATCCAGTGTTTCATTACCAAAAACCCGGCAATACGAGTTTCTCTCTCGCCGTTTTCTGGAGCACGATTTCAATACATTCTCTTCTTATGAACAAAAAAGGACAAATTAAAAATTGTGGAATTTTTAGATTCTTTCATAAGACTGCGAGAGTTTTGAGACAGTAATAAAAGTAGGTTTTCTTCTTCAGAAAACAGTGGGACATTGAAAGTTGTTTTCAAAACATGTTTAATGGCTGAGCTACAACTGTTAACATTCTTTTTCGTACTGAAATCAACGAGAGATACTAATTTTAATCATAGCGTATGTCTCTCTATCGGTAAATTACTACTAGAGAATCGGAGATACAATGGCAAATAGAGCCAAGCCGATAAAAACTTTTTAATAGCTCGCTTGTATATAAATACCTCTATAAAACCAACCTGAATTGATCCACGGATTTCGTAAAGTAAAGGTGCCCTGGAAATCCGGGGTCTGGCGAAGAGCCCCTCCTAAGGGAGCATGGCTGGGGCCGAGAGGTTTCCGAGTCCAGGCTCTTCAGGTGAACCACTTCCGGTGGAGCCAGGCCGCTTCTCGTGGTCCTCAGTCCTTCACTACTCCTACAGTCCCTCACTACAAGTCAGCCACTGATTCAACAAATAAAATTAAGATTAAAAGTGATAATTCCAATAAAAAAATAAAATGTCTTACTGTGTATTGCATGTGTATATTTTTCATGGTTGCAAATTTAATAAATGGTTTTTATAGGTCACGACGCAAAATTGTTGCGTTGATTATTCCATTGCAAAGTTCCTTCCTTATGTTCGTCGTTATCGTGTTGACGGGTGTTGGCTTGGCCACTGTTCCATGTGCTGCTTCATATCTGTTCACATCTTTCTTGGGTGTTGTGTAAAAAGCAAGCTTCCTATTTGTTGCGAGCGTGACGTATGTGGGTGGTTGTGTGTTTGATTGCGTGAATCCGCCCTGGTTGTGGCACCTCGATCGCTGTCGCTTGCACGGTGTTTGGGTCTCTCTCTCTCTCTCTCTCTCTCTCTCTCTCTCTCTCTCTCTCTCTCAGAGAAAGAAAGACACCACAGCAGCGAAAGCCACAACCATAGGCGGGAAAGAAGAATGAAGAAAGAGAGAGAAAGAGGAGAGGAAAGAGCGGTATTTCCAACATTACCCTTATGGTTTTACGAACCGTAACTAAGACCGCAGAATTACAATGCACCCATTGCGAAATGAGCCTAAAATTGAACTCTAATAGTTAGGTGGGAGGCGGCCATCACACCAACAAGCAGCGACCTTGTGCGTGAAAACATTCGGGAGAGAAAATGAAACGATAATTTGTACTCTCTCCGAAGAATGAAACGACATTGCCAGCTATATGTGAAGAGACCATAAGGTGTGTATGGAGAGCTCAGAAAAGAGAGAGAGAAAAGAGAGGTATCGTAAGTCAAAATCTCTTCGATGCGTTTCTACAGGTCGAGAAGTCACTGTATTTTCGGAGAATGAATTTTTCAAAGAAAAGAACCAAAAAACCGCTAGGCTTGAACTCTGTCGCCGAGATCTGTTTGGGATTTTTTTTGTTATTTCAGATATTCTTCTATTCGTGAGATTTAGGCACCATTTTGCAGAGGTTATGAAAATGTAACCTGTGATAATGTCGCCGCGATGTCTTCGGATAAAATCTAAAGTCATTAAAAATGCAATTATGACCGAAGCAATACAAAAAAGCGCAATTTTGTACAACTCTAGGGTTATGTTCAACCAGGCCGGTTGAATACCGGCCGTTTTTTTCTGTTTGCAGGTTATTGTACCATTCGCGCAACTAAGGGTTGAATAATGTCCAATTGATTATAGGTTGGAGAATTGAGTAGGATTGTTAAAAGAAAAAATTCCATTTCTTCCTTGCATAGGCATTTTTATATCATTTTTATATTTGAAATGTTTGAATTGGAGATATGTACCAATACATTAGTTACGTTCAGAAATTTATATGACAAATTACTATTTACAAAGATATATAATTACAATAACAATAAGAGATGTATAGTGAACAAGTAGAAAGAAATATTATTATATTAGTTTTTAGTATTTTAATATAGTTTTAGAAAATTACGATATGTAATTAGGCAGCATAAAGTGGTAATGTATTTTGTGGTACACAAACTTATTCGAACAATCTTACTGTTTACTGACCAGCCAATATATGCATTTAATAAATGTATTTAAATACTCACTTGATTTGAAAAATGGTAGCGGAGTTTAAATAACTAGTTGGTGTGTTGCCCACGTGTCCACCAGGGTTCAAACGGGATGTAATCGAGAAGACGACCAGAACTGGAGAGAGAGCAGTGAAGGAAGTGCGCACGTAGAGAGTCATCCCTGGTAGTGGAAGAGATTTTCTGAGAAACGGAAAGCTAAGCCCGAAGACCATTGCATACGCCATTGGAGTAGGGTTCCTTGGAAAATTAGATGGAAGGATGCACGTAAACTTATTGTTTTTATTCCACTTCATCGAATATAAGTGAAGACAATTTGCAAGGAAGAAGCCGGTAAAACGATCAGAATGCCATGTCCTCATAATCAACTACTGGAATATTGTTATGAAATGGCAGAGCAGACAAATCGCCGCGAATGAGCTATGTCCGCGTAGAGGACAAAAAAACGCAAAGAGTAGATTTGAGCGAAGTTAAATTTAAAAAAAAGTTTGGAAAATAACAGTTTCATTATGCATATTTCATAATTCAAATATTCATTAAGATGTGACTTATTTCAAGTGTTATTGGTAAGGTCGGAGATGGCATAGTAGAAGTCTTCGAGAGCAATTCATTTGCGAACATGATGGAAATAAATAAATTAATAGTCTGTGTATATTTACTAGCACAAAAACTCGAGGTGTAAAACACACGGGGTATTTAATTTCAATAGAGTATTGTCGGAAATACTGCCATTATTATGTTACGGTAACACGAAGGGAAGAGTTGAATTGGAATAGGATGTATATTATATGAAGATTGTTTAGCAGAGGTCGGAAGAAACCTGTAATAATTCACGATATACTGAAGCGTCGAAGAGAACGAGGCTGAGAGCAGAGACCTGAGAGAAGATATGTGCTAAGTGCGATGGCTTACTCTGAAGCTAAGAGATTCGAACGTTCAGGAGACAAGATAGAGAAAACATAGCGAGATGCGAATATAGAGGAGAATAATAATGATTGGTATGAGATGAGTAGAATATTAGAGCTTACATGTGTCATACACACTTTTGAAAATTCATTCATATTTAAAAAGAAAGATACGACCATGGGGACGAATTTGTGGTGTAGAGAAAGATGTAATTGCATATTGTAGCCATTTCCCTAGAATACGTTGTTGGTGAGAGAAGCACGCCAATTTTTATATGATTCACTGATCACGAAACTGTAATTTTTTTCGAACCGAGAGTCCTTGTAAAGACAAATTCTGAAAACGTAGGTGGAGAGATAGAAGAGATGGAGCACCGAGGAGAGAATTCGATGGAGATATGAATGTCAGAGATAGAGAAGAGAGGGATGACAGAGAGAAGAGAAAGAGAGAACAAGAAAGAGCAAAGAGATTTTTTCCCCTTATGTACCCCAGCTCCAAGGAAAAAAAGTTTCGTAAATTGGAAATTAAATCTTCACCAAGCCTATGAGAGAAAGAGAGAGGAAGGAAAATGCTTGGATACAATCGCACAAGTATGACCCGGGGAAGAATAAGATTGAAGAAAAGTTAGAGAAATATGGAACGATGTGAAAGGAGAATCTTAGTGCTCGTGTGCATCTGAGAACACAAGTATGGAGCCGGAAGAAAAGAGCAGAGAAAGACATAAGCACAGAAGAGAAGCGAGGAGGAAAGAGAGCACGCTCTGCCAGGGAGCGGCCCGGAAGAAGAGGCCCGCATTGGTTAATGTAGAGTGAGGAGGCGGGAGAGATGATGAGAGAGAGAGAGGAGAGAGAGAGAGAGACCCAAAACACCGTGCAAGCGACAGCGATCGACG